GAAAGAAAATTTTTTGTTATCTCTTTGAGAATGGTTTATTTTCTCATCTATATTTAACAAATTTTATAATTGTTCCATTATAAATTATATATATATTATAATATATATAAAAGAAAAGTCATAGTTGGTACGTTGTAGACTAAATTGAATTTGCTTCAGTTTTTCTTCTCCTATTTTTTTTTTTATTGTCTCCATAGCGGAGTCCTCACACACGTGTATAAAGGGTTAATATTTTCCTTATTAAAAAGTAATATTTTTCAAAGAAAAAGAGAGAGAGAGAGAGAGAGTAATTTTTCAATGATTGTAAGTTGGTTCAATTGGAGATGGTCAATGCTCGTAGGTTGCCATCAATAGTCATGACAAGTCACAACAAGTCCTGACCTCGTGACTATCTAAAGGCAGAAACTACGTGACGGAAAAGCGGATACTACTTCACTACGTGTCGGAAGTGAACTGCCATGCCATGCTCTCGATCTGTCTACGGGAAAGAATTTTTCTCCTTTTTTTTTCTTTTTTTTTTATTTCTCCCCCACTTGTTCTATCTCTTTGGAATATAAACTACGATTATATATATATATATACGTGCGATTAACTGTTATTTAAATGTAAACATATTCATCGTCATCATCATCATCATCTGAATTGAAATCATTTTCGAGTATATGTAATATTCAAATTTTATTATTATTTTGATATATTTCCAAATTGTACAATATATTTTTTTATGATTACAAATAATCCTTGGTTCATTTATCTTTACAAAAGGTTTTCTTTCTTCATGATTTTACTGTTGAAAAATAAATTAAAAAAAAAAATTGTTATTAGTGGTAAAAATGATATTTCTTTCTTTTTTTTTTTTTTTTTTCAAACCACCACGATTTTTAATAATAAATGTAAAGGATAAGATATATTATCCGTTACCATAGAATAATTACAGAAGCATTTAGCTTAACCGCGTTAGTAGTAAAAGTGAACAATAATGCATTTGCCAGCAGCACGAAT